TATTTATGAGGAGTAAAGGGAAGACTCCAAGAAGGGTAGTCTGTGRCATCGCTCGTCAGATCGACGTCATAGCTGCTCTACATGATGGTAAGGCAGGTGGCCATAGGAGTAAGGATACAACTTTTCTCAAAATACACGAGCTATACTATTGGGATGGCATGGGACGAATGATCAACGATTATTGCAAGTCATGTGTTCCATGTCAGGAGCGGTCTTCCATTAGACCTAGGGAGCCGCTTCATCCAAGGTACGTACGCGAGGTTGGGGCGGTCGTGCATTTGGACTTATTGGCAATGCTGCTGGGAGTAGGTGGGTATAACTTCATCTTCGATGCACGAGACAACCTCTCCGGTTTTGTAGATGGCAGAGCCATACGCACAAAAACTGGTAAGACCTTGGCTCGATGCATTGAGGAGTATTACCTCCGCTATCCTTTTGTCTCCAGATTCGTAATGGACAGAGGGTCCGAATTCACTTGTGCTGAGCTGAAAGAACTGCTGAGAGTGTATGGAGTGATCGCAGAGTATACTACTGCGGGGCACCCTCAAGCTAATGCACCTGTGGAGAGAGGTCATAGTATGATTACGAATCTCCTCGCTAAATGGACGAATGACAGGTCAAATCAGTGGCCTAACTTCCTAAGGGTTGTCTTCTTCGTGGATAACATCACTGTCAGAAGAAGCACCAACTACGCGCCAGCAACGTTGTGGTATGGCAGACATGCGACCTTCCCTATCGAAAGCTTCCTAAAGACTTGGAGGCGGCAGGACCTCGAGACAAACTTGTCCTTTAAGGAACTGCTAGAACTAAGGGTTCGTCAGATTAATGCCATAGAGGACAGAATTGAAAGTGCGGCGAGTAAGGTGGCTGACAGCCGATAGAGGGATAAGTTCAGATGGGATAAGATGGCAAGGGTAAGGAAGGAGCCTCTCAAGGTGGGCGACGTTGTGTTGCTATATGATTCATCCTTAGAGAAGCAGTGGTCGCGAAAGTTGGACAAGAGGTGGTTAGGACCATACAGGGTCGCGAGGAGTGGAGAGCATGGGACATACCATATTGAAGAGTTGAATGAGACTGCCTGGAAAGATTGGGTGTCAGGCTCGAGGTTGAAGAAGTTTGTCGCTCGAGACGAGGTGAGCATGGGTCTCACAATTTAGAGTCATTTTCTGTTAAGTATTACTAGATAGAGATATATATATAAATATGAGAAAATTGTGTATGTTTCTCAGTAGAATGGTGTGATAGAGTATAGTATTAAGATAGATTTATATACGTGTATTTACACATGTATGTATGTGTAGTTAAGATAAATATGGGAGGGGAATGTTTGTCTCCTGTTTTGTTTGCCGAACCTGCTTACCCTCTGTGTGCTTTTGTCTGTCTCTTCCTTGTTGTGCAGGCTTGACACCAATTTTTGGGCAGCCATGCCAAGAGGGAGGGGAGGGGCAGGGCCAGTGGAAACCCCTCTAGGGGTTACCAGACAGGGGATGCAGATGAGGGCCAGGAGAGAGGACAGGCCACCCATTTATACAGGAGACAACGTTGAGCTGTTCATGGTTGGGTTCAGAAGGTACGGTCATGAGTTTGGATGGGATAGTAGCAGGCTGTTGCGGGAGGTGCGAGGAGCAAGCGAGTGGGCATAGCCCCTTGCCAACTTCGTCAGGGAGTCATTGACCTGGCAGGATTTTGAGAGGAAGATGGAGGGCTTGCACCCATCGCCATTAGGAAGGGATGGACAACCCATCCGTTTCGATGACACTAACTTGTGGAAATTCCTGAAGAGCTACGACGAGTTTGCAGACAGCATCAACGAGCCACCAAGCCAGAGGGTGAGGGGTTTTATTCTGTTTGTAAGGGAACACCTCAGGTCCTTTGTCAAATCTATTGTGGAGCCTGCCACAAACTGGGGCCATTGCAAGAAATTGCTTTGGAACTACTATACTCCAGCTCGTCAGGCAGAGGAGAGGAGGAGTGTGCATAGAAAGAGGAAGGAGCCAGAAACTGCAGAGARGAGAACCTCTGAGCAGGGCATGACCTCAGGAGCTMAGAGGGATGGCCAGAGGAGAGAGCACAGGTYCCGGAGGCAGGAGAGAGRGGAGGACCAGCATATTGGCAAGACTCAACAGAAAGAGGAGGAGACTGCAGAGAGGACCCAGAGGGGAGGGCCCTCAGGTGGATCAGATATACCTCCTCACCTTGCTCAGGTACATGAGACCACTCCTAGGCTAGGCATGCAGCCAGAGACGTCTCATAGGGCACAGGGTCAGGGAAAGGATGAGGATCAGGCTGCAAGAGAGAAGGAACAGGACAAGGAAGAAAGAGCGGCAATAGAGAGAGAAATCAGAGTCCAAATCAGACTCAAGAACATTGCGGAGCTGCACGAGAAGGTTGAGCAGGGAGACCAGCCTGTGATACTAGAAGGCAGAAAGGGGAATGGCTCACCTACTCAAGACGATGAGACTCCTCTTTTCACAGAGGCTTGGGACAACTTTGATAAGTTGTTGGAGGCAACAGGGAGGCCCAGGGAGCAGCATCAAGAGATGGGGGTTAAGCTGGTCTCTACAGACTTGCTTAGCCTGAAGGGCCTTACGAAAGAGGGTTTTGCGGCGGCCAAGACTTCTGATGAAAAGATGGAGAAGAGGTTGACGAGGGTGGCGCGGGCGTTTCATGAGCAGAGAATGGACTGGCAAAAAGAAATTGGTGATCTCAAGAAGGAGTTGGAGAGGCAGGACAAGGAGATGGAAGCCATAAAGACTGAGGTGGAGAAGGCCTGGGCAGGCAACGAGGCCATCAGACAGGTCAACCASACCCTTAACAAGGTCAATGACAATCTGAGGGCCTACTTGCAGATACAGCAGAACACCTTTCAAGTAAAGGAGGCGAAGTGGGAAAASARAATCATGGACCTTGAGGCCAAGTGTGCACAGCAGGCACCTACTGCAGTGGTAGACTGGACAGAGGTCCAGAGGTTTGAGATCAGGAAGCAGCCTGCAGAAGAGGCCTTCAAGTGTCAGAAGGTGGAAGAGAGGGCAAACGAACAGAAGGATGAGGAAATCCCCCTGCTAGATAAARAGATGTTGCAGCCTGAGGACGCCCTAGCAAGGATGAAGTCAGGAACCGGGGGGTTTGASTGGAGGATGCCCACAGTCTTGGCACATGAGGCGAGGCCACCAGCAGAGGATGCGATGGATGAGGCTGCACTTCCCATGACTCAGGAGGAGACTGTGGGGAGACAGGAGGTTCAGGAGAGTGTGGGACAGGCCATGGCAGGGGCTGAGGAGAGGGAGGAGCGGGAGGTCTCTCAGAAGACTCCACCATCTCAGGATATGCCTCTAGTTGCAGGTCTGGAGGATGCACTGGGATCTTGGGCCACTGGATCCGGGGCAGAGGAGCGAGTGAGGGAGCAGATGGCCCAAACAGATGACAGAGCAGCATGCCCCATTCCCCCAGAGCACCCACAGCAGGAGGTCACCAGCGAGGCCACAGCAGCCCCCTCATCTGTACCTTCCCATGCAGCTGACAAGATGGAGCAGAAAAGGTTTGGAAGATGCTTTTACTGCAAGAGAGGCAAGCACCCACAGGAGACCTGTCCCAAAAGCCTCAAGGATGAGGCCGATGGTTTGTTTTCATGGGACCCATCTGGCGTACGCAGGGACAGAGATGGGAACCTGATCCTGAAGACTCGTGATGGGATACGAGCGCAGTTGTATAGGCAACTGCAGGAGGATATGAGTAATCAGGAGTAGGATTTACGAATAGGGTCCGGAAAAGTCTAGATACTGATATGTGTAGAACATCTCTGACTCACTACTGATGAATGACTGTATATAGGAGAACACATGGAGGATTGGATCACGCCCATGTACATCAGTTAATTGAGTCATTACAGAGATGTTTACTTTCGCATATAGACTTTCAGACCTAGCGTACATAGAAAAGTATTGAGTGTGACACTGACTACTTCGGTTTTCCTTTCTCTTGTGGTGTGGAGTGTTTCTAGGTAGTGCTTTTGTGTGAGTTTATGATTCTTTCTCTTTCAGAGCAAGGTGAGTCAGACAGTGTGTAAGTGATGCGAGGTATGGATACTCTGGCTCTCTTTTACTTTTTGACTTTCTTGGATATTTTGAYTTTTTTTAGGTACCTTGATCTTCGGTTGGATACTGTGACACTTGGTACGATACCCCGGCACTTTGTATGATATTTGTTTTCTTTTGTACGATATTTTGATCCTTTCGATATGGACTGGAACCTTTGTTTATTTGCAAGGTCCCTGCGTTCTGTGTATTTGTGCGAATCTCAGACTTCTTTCTTTTTTGTGTGGTATGTCACGCTCACTYTCAGTTGTGGACTTGCCCATATGAATGATTATTGTGACGAGAAATAAATGTTGTGGAAATGACCTGATCTGCACTATCTTCCTCTGAACTTAGGCATATCTGCATTAGAACAGACAAAGTCATAAGTACAGTGAAAGAGAGTGCACCTCATGTCTATTTGGAATAAGGAATTATGTGTTGAGTTCAGAAGGATTTGAGTGATGATAAATGGAGAGGTCACAACTAAAAGTTGTATCTTTTTGTGTGGTTCAAAGGAAAACGAGAGAAAGAGACTCAATGGGCGTTGAGTTCTCCACATATATATAAGAGTGGAACTATGAGGGAGCACTCAAATGAGTTGCTATAATGATGAGGAAACTGTATGTATGAGTGAAAGTCTGACAAGGGAAGACCAAAATCTTTGTGAGAATTATGGATGAAAATTTTCTGGCAATTATGATGAGAGACTTTTGTCAGGTGTCCCTAAGATGTGTGACTGCCGCCTGTTCTGATCAAAGTAAAGGGGGGCACGACCTTGTGGATAAGAGAGAAAGTTGCTGGAACATAGAGAGAAAGAGACACTATCCCCCCACATAGTCCGAGGTTGGGAGGGTAAGTGAATCTAGAGGTTGTCCAGAGCTATTTGCCAGAYCACAATGGTTAGTCTAGGGGGACATATTTTGTGAGGCCAAGCTAAGGTTTAGCATCGCTGGAACTGTAGAACCTAACTCCCAACGAGGGTCGCTGACCGGCGCAACCTGGCAGCGGGACCACGACTCACCAATGGTTAAATCTTGAAGGGTTAAATCTTGAAGGGTCGGTCGCCAGTAGAGGTATGGCTAGGGGGGAGTCAGTGGGGTTGAATGAGTCTGAGAGCCGGTAAGTACGCCTATCGTTGCGCAACCAACGAGGGCATCATCGCTATATAACAACGCGATGAGCCGTGGATACGGTGTGATCGACCGTTCTGTGGTGGGCCAAAATGGAGACCTCAAAACCTCCTGTGTAGACACCAGGGTGAACAATTATTATGAGAGATATTTGAGATGGTAAAAATTATCATTTTGGGAACTAAAGGTGCCCCGATTTTTTAGAGAGGTCTCGGTTAGGGCCTGCGTTCTGAGTTCCATCAAGGCTGGGATCGTTGTGTCGATCACCCCGATGGTCACATGTCCTTTGACGACAGGAGGAGGATTCATCAACGCAGGCAGTGCATCGATCGCCTCCAACAATCTTGCGCAACAATTCACAACCTGCCTCTCACGTACATCACCAACCTCCATGCCGATTCCATGAGCTTTTGCTAAAGCACGTTGTCGCGCCCCCACTGCTCCAAGGGTCCGGTGAGATGTCCTTTCCCGGGACCGAGCTCAGTGGGTTGGAGGACTGGCAGGCTGTCACACAGGAATTTTGATAGATATAAAAGTAGAGGTGTGTTCAGGGGCAGTCACACTTTATCATACAGCCGAGTAGTCAGGGTTATCCCTCCTGCCAGCGGCGACACGGCTTAGAGTGAGGCGTTCGGGTTTATCGATCCGGGAAAAAAAAAGGGAGGGGGAGGCGACCAATAGAAAGGTCAGATGACCTTCGTAGGGAGCCGTGCTAGTCTTCTCTGTATCGTTCCAATTTTAACGGATGTCCCGCAGGACTGCGGCCACGGATTCGGGATATCACCCCCGAATTGACCGGGCCCAGACGAATCAGAAATATTCGGTTTTACTCATCAAGTTCCATCATCTGGATTCGAACACAGGTTTGTATTGCAACAGTTGAATGTACCCACTAGGCTAGGCTCTTAGGTCCTACTGCCGGTCCACGGACCGGTACCGGACCTTGTCCCAAAATGGGACCAAAATAAAAATAAAAATGAGAATAATAATTAATAAAAAAAAGAACTTATAAAACAGGTAGGGGGACGGGAACCACTGGGACTCGGTCCCTTGGTCCTGCCCGTCGGGCCCGCAGTCGGAACCCTGCGCAAAACCAAGGGGGATAGTCCCGCAGGACCCTCAACCCCTCGGATTTTTGCCAAAATACGCTCCTCGCTCCCTTGCTACTGTCCGCTGGCCTCGATCCGAGGATCTGCAAGGCGAAAGTCTAGTGCTGTAACCGATAGGGCTAAGCCCAAGCCTGGTTGCAGCAGGCGCAGTTCTACATATGAAGAGTAACTGCGGCCTACTCGGGCGTGTAGCAGGTGCACCAAGGTCGTTGCTTGGCTTACTACTCGAGCCCAAGCCCTGCAATGTCACACTTTCGCTGCTTGGAGGACGGTTATTGCTGAGTTTACCATGCGCACTTCCCCGCCATGCCGCGGTCACGGACCGAGGCTCTCGTAGCCCGCAGTACTCATCGAAAAGAGCATGCTTTTATCGTCTTTGGTCGGAAAGACCCCGACTTTTGCTCGCGCCGTATCCACGCGTCGTACCTAGCTCAATTTTGTTACAGCTCCTACCGTCGATACTTTTATAGTCAATTGTAGTACTTGCATACTTTACATGGTGCGGCCTCAAAATGTCGCCCTTCCGCAAGCCAGTCGAAAGTTTTCCTCTAGCCATAGCTTCGACGGTCTAACTTCGCACCGGTGGCTACTCCGTCAGTACGTTCGAAGTCTGCGGCCCGTGCTACGCTATCCGAACCCCTAGCTTACTTTTAACTTGGACCGCCGAGCGGTCCATCTGTTCACACTATTTAACTAATGAGTGCCCACAAAGTGCACGCCCACACACTCTTTGGATAAGCTATGTGTGCGCCCGCCATCCCTGACTTCAAACTCAGTCACGGTCGAGCAAGAAACACGCTACTTCCTTAAATTTTATCAAGAGTGCTCCTCCTGCAAGGTGCAAAAGTACGCATAATTACCGTTGTAAGGGTATTGGTGCCGACAGTTTTTCCGGACCCTATTAAGCGACGTCCCTGTCGCGTCGAGCAATCAAATGCTATAAGCACTCAAAATCCCATCTGCTGACGAGGTAGTAACCATTCCGACTAGCCGGCTCGACTCTGTTAGAGGCATCTTGTCAATCTACCCCAGTCACGGCGTTCCACTGCCAGGGTTTTAACCTGGGTCTCCCACATCCCGGCCTAGGAGTTAGGGTGTACTGTCATCCGTACTACAGCGTAATACCCGCTTCCAAGTAGTAGATTGATGGCCCTCCTCCCTTCATCGTAGACATCTGCCGGTTTATCGTTGGGTTTCCTAATGAGTCATCATCCCGCATATGTGACAAACCGACGCCATCTTGTGACGATATGATGTGTCCTTCCTTTGTCGCCCTATCTCGTCCTGGTTGACATCAAATGACCACCATCCTCCATCCATGTAACCGACGTGCGTGTTCAAGACAATGTACCGGATCACTTCCTCCCAGTCCGAATCGTCCAACATATTGTGATGACATCGACACACAGAACGATGGCGATAGTGATGAATGCCACGAAGCCTATCGCAACAACGGCGCAAAAGAGAAACATCCAGGGAACGCTGTTGCAGCACGAGGCAACGAAGGAGGTTAAGCAATGACAATGACAGCAGGAAAAACCACCCCACCCTAGGATCCTTCGCTGATCTTCTCACTCGAGCACGGAGGACAACATACAATCACGATAGATCCCTTGCAGTAATTCCTTGGCCATATGGCGGGACCTTCTCGTTCTTGCAGTGCTTGCTCAGATGGTGCACCTGGACGACTCATTGCCCGCACACACGAGGACGATCCTCCACCGTGACTGTCTTCCACCTCCCTAACGCTCCAAGGGAAGTTCAAACATCCGCTGAGCATGCGCTGCAGAGCACATGGAAGTCCCCCACCTTGGGAAACCCTCAAGTTGCACCAAGACCATGTGATGGCAGTGGCGACAGCCACCACCAAACGAAGCAGCCTCACGTCGAACGACGTTCAGCCAAGGACGTAGCATTGCAGTTTCTTCCCTCTTGGCAGAGACGAGGACCAAGTAGATAGGCGATGGCAGAGCTTTGTGCACCACACTCCGCGGCGGGCCTACATCTGCTTTGAGGGCCAACCGAAGACAATGCTGTCCGTCTACCGCTGCCGTCATTCGAATGACCCTCTAATTTCAAAAAATAGTGCCGCCGGTAGGGACGGCGGGACCAGGAACGGCCAGCCACCACAGTCCCCTGGGACTTTCGTGCGGCAATAAGAAATGTGTGGACCCGCAGACAATAAGAAATGTCCGGGCCCACCGGCCCTGGTTCGGCCGATGGGCCATGTGGATGTCTGTTTCTCGTCCACCCCCGCTGCCTCCGTCGGCGACGAAGACATTCTTTGGGACCTACCATGCTCCCCCGATGGACCACGGATCACAACAGATACAATGCTCTTGATCTTAGCCAAAAGGCCCAGAAAGGTATACTACGAATGCATTCTATGGGACCTACCATGTAACTCTGGCATTTGTTTTGGGAAATCTGGGGTACCACGGAGGATTCCGCTATCGGAACTCCATGGCTTGACGAATCCTGGGGCTAGGTCCCACTTGCACGAATTATGAGATACTGACCGTAGATAGCAAAGATCAACGACCGAGCTCTCCTAATTTGCGCAGGTGGGACCTTGCCCCTGGACCAGGATCGCCTGCTGGAAAAAAAGAAAAACAAAAAAAAGGCCCCACGCGGAGTGCTGGCGTATCCGCCGGCACTTGAACTCAACGTACCTCCGGGAGGTGACTTGAGTTCAAGTGCGATTTGGCTATGTCGCCCTCGAGTTTCAAGGGCGCACCCTTGGGACGCAAAAAAGTGAAAGCAAAGAGGGCCCCTCTAAGGGGGGGGGTTGGAAACATGATTTTTCGCTTCGCTCTTGAACTCGAGTGGTGTGGAACGAGGCCCGTAGGCGGGAAAATGGTGACGACTGTTTGAAAGCACCGTTGGGCTGCGTTCAAACAGCCTCCCCGTGAGAAATCTCTCTCTTTCTCTCTCTCTCTCTCTCTCTCTCTCTCTCTCTCTCTGTGGGTGTGGGTGTGTGTGCCTGTGGTGCCGTGCCTGAAGGTGCGGAGTGTTAGGTTCACACTCCGCCGCAAAAGGAAATAGGTGAGTTCCTGAGGCTTGGCGAAGTGCACCCTCCCTCCCTGCCTCCCTCCCTCCCACCTCTCGCCCTCTCTCTCGGCGGTGTTGTGCATCAAGAGGTAAAGAGTTCCGTTCACAATCAGCCCCAAAACGAGATAAGTCGTTTCAATAAAAAAAGAACAAACGTTTGTCTCGCCTGGCATGGCGAAGTGCACACACCTCCTCCTTCCCTCCCTCCCGAAGTAGGTGGTTCG